TCAATTTCACGAAGCAGGTGGGCCATCTGGATGCGCAATCAAAACGGCGGCAGGATGAGTGAATGTACTTTCCGAACGCGCATCTGCCAACTGAGGAATGTGAACATTCTACCGAGGACACTGTACTTTCAAATGCATGTGATTATGTGATCTCTTTCACGTGATTAGAGAGAAAAATGGCGGAAACGACGAGGAGGAATAGCAAGTGCAGTTACCCTATTTGAGATTGATAAGGAAATAGTTCAAGGGAACAGCATCGCAATTCTACACACAGACATGTTATTGTTGGAATTAATAGTTCCCTCAAGAACTTTTGAAGAAAAAATAGTAGGCCTACAAAATGTACCAAATATTTGAATTGACAGGAATCTGAATTTGCAAAAGAAAAGTTGCCATACCTTAAGTGAATCAATGTTGATCAACTGTTGAACTCGATAATCCATCACTGCCGCATATGTACAGGCGGTTTCTGTCAGCGGTATTGAAACACAGTTCTCACGGGTCTAGCTTCGCCGACACCACCGGGTCAGGATCTGTCGGGGCTCGGCACCTAGGGTACAGTTAAGAGATCAAACGGGGGTCAACATCGGACTCTTTAAAATGTGAGCGATAAACCTTAAAGTAACACCATGGTGTCAGATTATGACCTCAACGGAAATACTTGGTGAGATTATACGATCGCTTCTTCTTAAAGTTGGTGTATACGTGCCTTTTGAGTGCGGCACTTTGAAAATAGATTTTCCAATTGAATTGATAATTTTCTAGCATTACATTAGTTATGAGCTTTCCAATGAGACATCGCACGAAAAAAAAATCAGCCCACGACATGTAATCGTTTGATTAATTTCAGCTTTTGAATTAAGTCCTAATTCGTTCTGAATATAGTGTACGCAATTTCTGAACTCGATCGCGCCATACAAAAGCACTTTTTAAACTGTATAAAAGCCTGCAAAAACAAACAAGCAAATTTATTTGTTACAGGACATTATATTTCTTTAAGTTTCGTTCGGAAAAGAAAATCGAAATTTTGAAAATGCACGTATAGGCCTAGGCCCTATACCAACTTTAACACGTTTTTATCCAAATTTCAAACTCTTAGACAATTTGACTATGCGAATCACATAGTCATGATATTCGGAAGACCGAGATTAAAATTGTTATGCGCTGTCATTTGTGTTCCCAGCTATTACATCTTTGTTGTGATTTTAAAATGTTCATATTTGTTAATTGTGGGAGTTTATTTATTTCATGAAATCAATTACAACCTCAAGGACTCGTAACCATGCATTACTTCTGACTTGACATGTTTCAACTGAAGTGAATACGTTCCTAGTGACGTTCGTAACTTTAATCTGATATCATTTCAATATGGCGCTTTGAGCATTGTCACGTGATCGCCCGCTATTCCTTGGAGTTTACAACTATTTCCTTCCGGACGCTCTCTAGGTATAATGTGATGATTTTACCATCGCCTTTGGCGACCCCTGGGTAAACGGAACGCGTTCAAGCTAAGAAATGCTTATTCAGGGATTTTGTTTTTGAAACCCTCAAGACAATACACTGCCAACGATAGGTTACAAAAAGCTCAAAGGTATCACCGAAGCTGAGGCTTGCAACTTTTTTGGCTTTTCCGCAAAGTTGCGGAAAAGCCTTTGTTTTTGTTCTCATTTTTTTTTTTTTTTTTTTTTTTTTTTTTTGGCTTCTTCTTTTTGTCGCCTAAATCCCATAGACTTTGTGCACGTTTTTTCTCATCGCCACTTTTGGCATTAATCTTTGTCATACATCATTCAAACTTAGCATAAGCATAGTCCCTATAGCAAAGATGTGTCCCGAAGATTGACGTCATCGTGACGTCATCGACTAATTTATTATAGATTTTTGAATATTTAATTTTTCCCATAGACTTTGTACACAGAAATTTAAAAAAAATTGTCTATTTGCAAAGGGCATTTTTGACTCTTTGCCAGTAATTCATTTACACCAGTCTTTGTCTAAGCAAAGACCCTAATTTAAACAACATTGTGTAATGATGACGTCATGATGACGTCATCAGGTGTGTGTTTATAGGCAATTAAATTGTGACACTTTTAATATTAAAAAATGCATAAGAAATCAACCGTACGCGTCCGCAGCATTTTGTTGCCGGCAAGTGGTAGAATAGGTTGAGGTCTTTATTTCATTCAGTGTGCGTGAAATCACGTGACCCTTGCTTCCGGTCGAAAAAGGCCAAAACCGGAAGTGGCTTATTATTTAAAAGTGGTAATAGATATGAACTTGCTTTTAACGGTGTTAGTCTCTTGGCCGATAGTATTCTTCAAATCATCTACCGATGACATCATGCAATCTTCGAGCGCCCTCTAGCGACAGGTTGAAAATTAGCAAAAATGTATTTTGAATAGATGTCTGTGGCGAAGTTTGTCGGAATCACCTAAATATTGGTGTATATGATGACCTTGACCCACTTAAGACGTGTGCGAAGTTTTAGGCGAATGACGTCATCAGACCGGAAGTTATAATAAAAAGACCCTTTTTCATTTGAAAATTCCTGAAAAATCAACCATGGCAGTTTTTATATTTGTTTTTACTTTAATTGTCGATTGAAGGGTAGGTCTAAAACATTTCAAAGTTTCGAGGCGATAAGCGAACTCGAACATACCCTGCGCACGCTTAAAACTTCACGTTGACAATACCTCTGCTTCAAAACATGCACAGGACAGGACGTCCACAATGTACATGTACATGCACGTACGTTGTACATAGGCACATACATCGTATGTCAGTCAGCCTGCAGCGCACGTGTTGCTCAGGTCATATCCTGTCCACAGTGACCGTTTTAGCCGATTTTCAGCTAACTTTGACAGATTTTTTGTTCATGCATGCGTATAGACAGGGACGTATTATAGCACTTTTGGCATTAATCTTTGTCAGATATCATTGAAAGTTGGCATAAGCATAGTCCCTATAGCCAAGATGTGTCCCGAAGAGTGACGTCATCAAGTGATTTATAATGGATTTATGAATACTTAATTTTTCTCATAGACTTTGTACACAGTTTTCTCCACAAGTCTTTCCCTATACAACACTGATATATCTTACTGAGTAGTTCTGAACTTCGGCTGAGAATTACTATGAGAAGGAAAACGAAATCGTATTTTTTCACGCCTGTCATTTGATTGAAAATATTCCCAAGAGTTAGAATAGCAAGTAATATTTTATAAAAATGTTTCAGTTTAAAGGAAAATCACGCATTTAAAGGTGCAGTTTTTCTGCTGTGGGATTTTTAACCTATTGACATTGTACACGTTTTCAAGCCACCATTTTCATAACTTGGCGATCTGGAATCGTCATCAAAGTTACGGCCAAGGAAGAGCCTCATACAAAAATTATGCCAAGACTATGACATCATGATGACGTCATCATCAAGTGATTTATTTTGGATTCATGAATAATTAATTTTTCTCATAGACTATGTACACTGCATTCTCCATAAGTCTTTTCCTATACAACACTGATATATCTTACTGAGTAGTTCTGAACTTCAGCCGAGAATTACTATGAGAAGGAAAAAGAAATCGTATTTTTTTATCGTTTGCCATTTGATTGAAAATATTCTCAAGAGTCAGAATATCAGAGGCCAATCCTGGCCACAGTGACCGTTTTAGCCGATTTTTCGGCTAACTTTGACAGATTTTATGTTCATGCATATTCAGGGCATATTATTGATTAAAAAAAATCATAATGCGGAAAAGCCCTATGTTCTGTTGCAAACAGACATAGACCTCTAGTTTTCTTTCTTTTTTTTACGCGAGGGAGCCATGGATCCGTTTGTCATTGCCCGATACACTTTATACGTCTAAGTAGCATCTCCGATATGCTTCAAATGAGTTACTTGGTAACATTTAAGTGTAGAGTCTCAGGCGACATGCATTCACTGAAATTTAATTGTCCCACACCGGGATATGAGTTTGAAGCAAAGAGCACGGATTGATGACCGATTAGGCTAATGAATGGCAATCAACATGAAATATCACTATCGTACCACCATGTAATTCGATAAACGAAATGGGTGGCCTCCTTTTTTTTCTCTCGGCAATTTGATCTGAACACACTTGGCCTAAGAACCCCGACAATGTTGCTTTGTGGGGAAAAGTACAGCTAGCACTTTGATAAAATGAGATGGGCATACATAGACTTTCAACGGCTCAAGTTTTTGTCCTTTCTATAGCAATCAACTAATGTTGCAATCCAATTAACACGTCATCGGAAATGAGGTGATTATATAATTGCTCATTCGAGTGTCCCAACAACATGTGAAAACCATATGAGTTCAAAGGCACCTTCAACAACACTTCACTTGTTGGTCAAAATTGTAATGGACAATGACTCATTGTTCGGTGACCGTCATCTGAATCACAGTTAGGTCTCACCTTGGAAACCACTTCTGTAACAGTACACAACACAGAGCTTCTGATCACTTCCCTTCTGAGGGCGTGTTCGTCAACGGTGAAACAAAACACCCGAATTTTAAGATATAATTATACATATTGCAGCAGTGCAAGTTGATATTATTTTATGCTGCACTTGCCGAGAGCTGTACTGAGCACAGTCTACTTTCACGGGAATGACCGTGAGTTATGTATACAAGACCATGATTTGAACTCAACATTTCGAGGAAAACTCTGGAACATTATCTGTAAAGGCCACAGCTTTTTTAACAATGAGAATGTTCAAAGTCATGAACATGAAGTATAAGTTAAGTATAATTATTTTCTTATCTTATATACAGAGGACAGGCAACAGGTACAAATTGTTGCCTGTGACAGCTCATGATGCAGATATTGCATACAGAATCTGTTCCTTGCTCCATACATTTCTGAATCAAGGAACATCGTTACAAGTCGGCAAAGACAAGCTGGTAGCTACTTCTTGTACCTCGTGACACACACATCACGTGATTCCAGTCACGTGGGACAACTATTAATAGAACTCCAATCACCTCATTGCCTTTTGAAACTTCACTTTACATTTTATTTTTCGTGGAGAACTAATAACTCACAACATATTTTTTGTTTACTGTTATGTACACATTTACAAAATGCACAACCTTAAAATTTATGTCAGTACTAGCATACTATAAATATTAGTTCACCATTAACAATATTTTTTTTAAACACACACACAATTTGGCAATTTCGTGAAAGAGAAAAGACAGCATTCAAACCCAAAAAAATTAACACCACACAATACAAATTTCTTTGGTTTTTATGCAAAGCATGCTGCAGCTTGTAAAAAAAGTAGCTGCTTGAAAATCCCAATTTGCATTTACTGTAAGTATCAAACAAGAATGAACAAAATCGTGAAAATTTGTGAAAATCGAGTTGATTTTATTTCAGATATAGGATGGAGTCAACTAGAATAGCTGGCAAGCCAAACCAACTTACCATTCTTTCTTTTTTATTGCGCAGTTATTGTGCAACATTTCAAAATATACAACTCTCTTTCAGTCAGCCTTACACCTAATAGACCTTTATCATGCTGCCACCATTTCAGTCATGTTCCCCGTATCCAGTAACAGTACTGAATGATTTTTGTGTGTGTGCAAAAAGGAACCAGACTATTTCCTTCCAGCCTCGCTTTAGTAACGTTGATTTGAATGGGGAAAAAATCAAGGTGGCCGCAACATATTGGTCTATAGCACAAATTTCTCTTCGCCACTTGTGTACAATGAATAATCATCGCTGCTATCAGATATTGAGAACAATGTGAATATCCGTATGTGGCATAATAATGTGTATTTATATGTACAGTTGTTCAAGAAAAACATGCTCCTTTCCTTCAAAGGCTGCTGAAACTGGGGCCAGTGTAAAAGATTCACACACTAATTTATGAATCTGGAAATTATCATTAAAGTTACCATCAGTACAAATGCGTATCACAAGCCATCTCTCTTCCAATAATATTCTTGCCCCCTGAACTTAAAACTAACAACGCCGCATGTCGAGATATCGGACCAAAGCCCAATGTCTTTGGCACAAAATCGAGTAAGCGAATTCACGCGATGGGCTAAAAAAAAAAATTAGCTGGTAACCATTCACAAGCAATAAAATGCACAACAATTTAACTGGTTATCTGTTTTGGCTGAGCAAATAATTCTCTCTGGTTAGCACATTTTTGTAGTTGGCATCTGCATGAAATTGGCCGTGGTTAATTGGAAATGACAAGTTCCTGCCTAAGTCAGACCATAGCTCGGCTATCATCACTTCCAAATGTGGGCAGTGCTAGCCCAGTCAGAAGGGAATTAATACCACTTGCCAGCTGCTCATTAGCGACATGTACACCTGCCAGCAATTAACATTTAAAAAAGAAAACCTGGACTGAAAGCTTGGAGCAGTTTCTGTTGAAGAAGGATGAAATACGCCAATCAAACTACTTGATTAAACTAATTTGTTGCTGATTTTCCATCCAGCTAAAGATAAGGGTGCAATTTCTGGGTGCTGCCGTCCACGAAAATCTATACTGATGATCCGATCAATCATTCTATGCTAATTAAGAAATTCGGCACTTCTACAGGGTGGCGCAAAATGAAGGAAACCCACTTTTGACAGCAATTTTCACTTACTTGTTGAGCATATTTTTAAAAAAAAAATAATAAACGGTATTAAAGTATTGATCTTCAAACATAAATGATGAAGAAATGATTGCAAACGCCTATTTTGTCTCTGATATACGGTAGTTTAAAACACATCATGTGCCAAAACTGTTTGTCCGAGAACCAAAATATTCCATCTGCTTGACTGAGCTCCGGAGCTTGATTTGAAGACAAAACTACACTAGACTTAAACGTGGACACTGGGCAACAGTGATTTTGGTGACTTTGATTCAAATTAGCATAACACTATTCTTGCGAATAGAAAAAAAAAATACACTATTTCTTGAAAATAATAACACCATTTTTAAACATTTTTTCACCACGGATGGTTGAACTATACTGCATTATAAAAAAAATTCAAATTAGTTAAGCAAGCAGGTTAAAATTCCTGTCAAAAGTGGGTTTCCTTCTTTTTGCACCACCCTGTACAATTAGCACAAGATGTTATGATTACCGGATGTGAACTTCATATGCACAGGCTAAAATTCCTCACTGACCTGTGAATGTGCCAACCGTTAGCGGAGACATTTCTTCTATAGTTACTTAAGATGGAATTGAACCCATATTGGCAGAAGCATCACACGTTTCACTGATTGCAAGCATCAGTATACAGTGTGACCCAAAGTAATTCAGATTATTCGGGCGCCAAAGTAAAAGATGTTTCTACTTAAGTCCATACAAGTAAAAAAAACTGCATCCAATTTTTCATCTTGTACCAATTCAACCTGCTGCAGAACCTAGAGCTAGATTTCAAACAGAAAAACCAAAACGAAGCTGCAACTAAAGCGAATAACAATTTTTGCTTTTTCACACTTTTCTGCACGCCCAAGCTAGTATAAAACTTGAAACCAAAACAATACCAAAGTTAGAAGATATGTTGCTAATCGAGATGTAAAAAAGCAAGCTTTTGTAAAATATAACTGCATTTATTTGAAACAGCAAAAAATGGTTTACCTAAATATATCTCAATAATAGTGAAAAACATGGATGTATATTTCAGTTTCCACAAATGCACGCTGAAACAAATAACAGTCCTTTAATTTTGAGCATTTCAATCCATTTTCATGGTCTGTATTGTCTGGAAGGAATGCCGTTAAACAAGGTTTTTCATTAGCACACTTTTTAACAAGTCAAAATGCAATCATTCATATGCAATATTTCTTACAAGTACTTACACAACAAGGTGCTTATTAAACTAAGCAACTACAAAATCCTCCCTAAAAACAGAGGTATAACATTACAATTCTTTGTGATGAGTACGATAAATTGTAGCCTCGGTGGAAAAGGATCGTGGTTATAAGCTACACTTTGAAGTTGTTTTCTTCAATACGGGAAAGTACTGTGCCGTTTACTAGTTAATAAGTTGCATGGTGTTTTTAACCAGTTTGCGTCAGATGACGTGTATACACACAAAGGTTTTGCAGTATGACTTGACTTGACTTGACTTGACTTTGTGACTTGACCAGGGATGGACCTCACTCCGACTCTGACGGACTGTGTTTTGATTAACCCAGTAATCGTTATTGCTACCAACCGTCTGATCTAAAAGTTGGACCTGAGGTTTAAGTAATCTGCAGCAACATGGCAGTGGACTGAGTATTACCACCTGGGTAGACTCCTACAACTCTCAGAGAGCACCCAACCATTGAGAGTTGGAGGAGAGAGGAAACTTTGTTCAGCATCATCAGCTGACTCTGCAGTCCACCTCCGCGTTCTCGTCAAACTGGTGGTGGAAGCTCAACTTCTTGGCGGCGGCCTTGGCCAGGTAGGCCATAGTGCCGTAGACACCGCTGGGGGCGCTGTCGTAGAAGTGACAGCAGATGCCGGACACCCCGCCGCAGGCTAGCGGCACCGGGCGAGGGCGGTCTAACGCACAGCACAGGGTGGCATCACCTTTGACGTCCATCTGGGAATGCACCAAAAAAAGACAACACCTTGAGAAAAGAGCAGGGCCCTTGCAGTTTTTCCAAAACCTCTGCTTCAATTCCAAGTTTGGCTGCAGAAATTGTTATGCTCCTGACTTGGGGAGACTCAAGCTCAATTTTGATCAGTGTTCTGAGAGCATTAAATACCATGCGATATCACAGTTTAGACTTTGCTTGGACATTCAGTTTAGACTTTGCTTGGACATTCACAAGCTTCTAAATGATCATTGAGCCCTAGATGAAGGCCAACCTGGAAATGAAGCTGAGGTTCGAAAAAGACGCTGGACAATTTGTCATCATTTCAACTGGTTTAGTTTTTTAATGGCCAGACAAATGAGATATTAGTATCGTGAAACACGGCGAGGGTTTAGGAGACAAGGTGATGGGGTTGTAGGAGATGGATGTAGCAGCCATCGCTGGTGCTCCTATGGTGTTTCCTGATGACTGCAGCCTCACCTCTAACATTTCTGAACCAGTGGAACTCCTTCTGGACCTTCTGGAACGTCGTACTTTTAATGACATGGGGACAGTCGATCTGGCACCGTCAAAATCACTGGTGCCTTCTTCAGTCTTGGGAATTTGTGAATCTCGCAAACCTTGGGCCAGGGGTGTGGTTTCTAAGTCAGTTTTAGGAATGCCATCAACTGACTTTGTCCTGGATTTTTTCCGGCGCTGCAAACACACACATGCAGAAGTGGTGCAGTGAGAAATGGTAATCAGGTTGGGTCCGATGAAAATATGCACAAAGGTGCGTCCTTAACCCTCCTACACAAACACACATTCTGTGCCAAGTTGTCCTGGCAGTCAAAATCAATCAAGTGACTGTTTTCACCAGTTAAGAGCTCCCAGCCTACATAAAGCAGGATTGACTGGCTGAGACTGTTTATGTAACTTGATACAGATATGTTTTGACTGTAGGTGCTTGATAAGCCAGCCATGCCTACCAGTTGTCTGCTTCTGTCTGTTGACTGAACTTGACTAGTCAGAGAGCTTGCTTGAAATATGATCTGACTGTGGTGACTAGCCTGTGTAAAAGGCAGGGCAGGGTAAGTGGATGGATATTTTGACTATCTGTGACTGTTCAAACAGATGAAACATTTGCGATGTTGAAATGGTTTTGCAGTAAGCTAGGCAAAAGCAAGGCACAAAATAAAAAACTATATTCACAGCCTTTTCCAGTACTATAACTCCAACACTGGCTATTCAAAAAACACGGCGCCTTTAACTTGGAGCACACCGGGTTGCCACCAAGTCATCAAAGAAACTTGCCTCAGGGGACTTGCACAGACTGTTTGCTTTGCACAACATACCTGATCTTTCAAGAAGATCTCGTTAGCTTCGATAACCAGCCCTTCCACTTGTATGATGGCGCCCAGGTTGCTGAGCCAGTCATTCTCCACGATCAGGGACAGCACCATGAGGGCTTCCACCACCAGCTGGCGGAACTCGGGCTGGGGGATGCGGTTCAGCGCCGACTCCACCTGCAGGGCAAACTTGAACTCGTTCTCCGTCATCTCACGGGTCATGTGGTGCGGGAGGCTGTAGCCCTCGATGCTCAGTCCATGGCACTGTTATGTAAAAAGACAATAATGGAAAGTCATGTTCAGCTACTTTGACAGTGGTGTAGTCTAGTCCACGACAAGATTCTCACAAGTCCCAGTGGGTGCGTTTGAGCGTGCTACTCGTGTTAACACAGGTTTACTTCTGAGCACTGAACAGCAGGAGTACGACCCCCGGGTAAGCAAGAGTATGCTCTTCGTCATACCGGGAGTATACTCCTGCACCGAGAGTAATGCGCAGGTAACATTTTCCTGCACTCGGGAGTAGCAAGAGTAACACCCTCGAACGCACCCCATAAGTCCATATCACAAGTGACCAAGTCCTAAATCAAGTCAAGAGTTGTTCAAATGAACTGTGAGCAAAGCATTTCTCTGTCATTGTTCATCCTCTGATACTCGCAACTGGACTCATGAATTGTCTTGAACTTTACCAGTGACCCTTAGCTCTTTGGGGAGTGTGGCCAAGTGGTTAGGTTTGTGACTCATGATGAGAGTGTCGGGGGTTCGAATCCAGCTGCTGGCCATATGTTGCCTCCTTTATTGCGGCTTTACTGCACTGTGTTTATTTTTAACAGCAACACGATTAATAACCGAGTAACATCTTTCACCAATATTGAACAGAACGTGAAATTCCGGTCAATCAAATCAGAGTGAAAGCTTATTTCATAACGAGGAAAATAATTTTCCAACAAACACTAAACTTTTGAAAGTTAAGCAACTCATCTATGGGAAAAATGTAGAAACTGCAAGACTTTTATATCTCAAGAGGATTCTGAAAGAAATAGGTTAACTTTTACAATAAATTGGATAACTTTCAGTTGACAATTAGTTTAAAGATGAAAACAAAACAAAAACCAAGGACATACCTTCTCAAGAATCTTCCAGACTTTTTGGTAGAACTCTGCGGGTGCACGGTTGAGGGCGCCATCTAGCCTGCGACGTCGCAGCCACTGGCCCACTTTCTCTTGGAACACATCATCCTCCAATTCCACGTCTTTAAGACTCAAGGCTTTAGACTAGGAAGGGAGGAAAATAAGCAGGTTTTAAAGAAATGTAAACTATGATTGGCCGCTTGTGGTTTTTCAACCTACAAGCCCCCCCCCAAAAAAAAATGAACCATGAATGTAAACATGGTGTCCATATTTGGTTTTTTTGTATAAAAGACAAACTGTTTTGTTATTGTTCTAATATTTATAAAGGTTTGCCTGAATGTACAGAGTTGTAATCAAGCCATCACATGATCACAAATCAATCACATCACAAGTCAATACAACCAATCACAAGTCAATCATAAGTCGATACAACCCATCACAAGTCAATCACAAGTCAATACAACCCATCACAAGTCAATCACAAGTCAATACGACCCATCACAAGTCAATCACAAGTCAATACGGCCCATCACAAGTCAATCACAAGTCAATACAACCCATCACAAGTGAATCACAAGTCCATACCACCCATCACAAGTCAATCACAAGTCAATGTAACCCATCACAAGTCAATCACAAGTCAATGTAACCCATCACAAGTCAATCACAAGTCAATCACAAGTCAATCACAAGTCAATACAACCCATCACAAGTCAATCGTAAGTCAATGCAACCCATCACAAGTCATCAAGTCCAAATAACAAATGATTCAAATTAACTGCAACAACAGATTTCTTGTTCATCATTATGGCACTTACAATTTGACATGTGACTGACTACCATTACAACTCTAATCAAATAAACGGAAAACCGTTTTGGAAATAGCTTACCGTCAACTGGCGTTTGAGCTGTGTCAGTCCCATAAGCTCATCCTTCTGGGTACTGACAATAGACAACTGTCTCTCCATGATGCCAACTGATTTGGCACTCGCTACAGAGAGGGAAAAACAATTCATTATTTTCAATTGGTTTATCACAAAATATTAGTCGAGAAAATTAAATGGAAACTCAGGCAGGTCTCACAGTGCCCCTCTTCATCAATATAGGTTGTTTTTTTTAAAGGTTTAGAAAATCAAAATATCCAAGATTTTCTAAGCGTCAAAATGAAGCAATTTATAAGTTTTTAGGATGTGAAACAGTGCCAATTTTTCAGCACGAGGTAGCAGAAATATAGGGAGTTGCTTACCTCGAGTTCTCCACACTAGATAAAGTTACCAATTTCATGCAAACTGCCAAGTTCTTAGAGAGGTAGGCCTGCATTGACAACATGGTTGATATTCTGGATAACTAAACTGTGTTAAATTGATTCTTAAAAATACCTTTAAAAAATTGCTCAAATGTAAGCCAGAAGGTTTTTATTAAAGTTACTTTAAAAATAAAGTAGGCTAGCTCCCTAGTTGAAATATATTTTTTTTATAGGATTTAAAGGTTTTCGTTGTGAGGCCTGCTCAGCTTTTGTTGACCGACTGAAGTGAAAACTCAATTTTTTTTCTGCCGAGTGGCTCAAAGGAACTTTGCTTGGCCACAGGAGATGCGAGGGGATTGTCTCCCTTACCTGCAGACACCCCAAACTCCTTGCCGCTGAGAATGTGGTGCAAGAGGTCCTTCATCTCGTAGGGGCTGAGGGACATCAGGTGCTCATAGGCCTTATCCCCTGACAGGAAAAACAGTCAAACAGGTCCCTTGAAGAGTTTTGTAACGCACACTATGCTTTTGCAAATCATTCGGTGGGCTTGGTCACATTAACAAGAAAACACCTGTCGTTACGATTATGAACCACCAAATTGAATTTGAGGACTGATTTCAAGGTGTGTCCTTACAAAATCAAGGGTATTTAATTATGATGAACAGCTGCACCTCCTAGCATCAGATGGGGTTCGGCCCTCCCCCTTTTGTGCAAATTTGAAAAAAAAGGGAGTGGCTGCACCTCATCTGAATACCAATGATCCTCCCCCTTTCTTGCAAATTTGAAAAAAAGGGAGTGGTTGCACCTCATCTGAATACCAATGACCCTCCCCCTTTCTTGCAAATTTGAAAAAAAGGGAGTGGTTGCACCTCATCTGAATACCAATGACCCTCCCCCTTTCTTGCAAATTTGAAAAAAAGGGAGTGGTTGCACCTCATCTGAATACCAATGACCCTCCCCTTACTTGCAAATTTGAAAAAAGGGAGTGGCTGAACCCCATCTGCATACCAATGGCCCTCCCCTTACTTGCAAATTTGAAAAAAGGGAGTGGTTGCACCTCATTTTATTACCAATGGCCCTCCCCTTTTTTGCAAATTTGAAAAAAAGTGGCTGCACCTCATCTGAACACCAATGACCCCTCCCCAAAGTCAAATTCTGGGTGCTCCATTGCAATGATGTCATACCATTATTTTTCTCACCCAATTTAATCCTCCTTTTGTTTGATCAGTCACAGACATACAAAAATGTCAATCCTGTTCCCCTACCATGCCTTTTACACAGGCTAGTCACCAACAGTCAGATCCTAAGGCACTGTGACAGTCAAATTCCAAAACAGACAAAAGCAGGTGACTATGATAGGCACAGCTGGCTTATCAATCTCCTACAGTCAAAAAAATAGCTATACCAGGTTTCATAACAATCACAGCCAGTCAATCCTGCTTTATGAAGGCTGGGAGCACTCGACTGTTAAAAACAGTCACTTGGTTTATTTTGACTGCTGGGCTGGCCTTGTTGAAATTGCCAGCCAGAGAGGGAGGATTAATATTTCAAAGTGAGCCTCACCCTGACATCCCAATGTGCGTGCGAGTTCAGAGGTCATGACCTGCATAATGAGGCCGACACGGATGCGTAACATCTCGTAGAAGAGCTTGGGCTCTGTCTTTATGAACATGGACAGATACATCAAGAGTTCCTGTTTCAAGACGTAAAAGAAGAATGGTATGTAAATGTAACATTTGTCAACATTTCTCTGATGCATCAAGATTAAATGCAATACTGAAAAATAAACTGCTACTGTTTATACATGCTTTTTAAAAGTAATTACCTAAAAAAAGACATAGATCTCAATTTTAGTAACATACACTACAAAACTATCCACTAGACAGATGAATGAAAACACATGCTGCTAAAATGTAATGTACACTCTCCAAACTTTGAATTTTGGTTACAAATCTATACCTAGCTAGAACATGCCAAATATATCTACATGTTCATTCAACACATCAGCATTTAAACAGCTCTACTTTAACAGTATGTGGCTAATACACACAATGGTATTTCGCAACCTACTCGAATTATCAATTCGAAATTTACACTTTACATATCTACATCAGATTTGTCACATAGTGCTACCGTAAATCTTTATCACATAGATCTACCTGTGTACCTACAGTCTGTAATTTGAAACTTGTGATATCATTTTCCATGCAAACATCAGTAACTGTTATGTTCTCCTACAAATGCTCTGTTATGCCTAAGTAGTGCTACACTATTGAAACGTTGGGGTGGCGAACATCAAAAGCTGTCTGTGTAAGTGTAATTTCCTGAATTTACATAAGAAATCTATACCTAATTGCATGTACCTGAACTGTTTAATATATAAACTTGCTCCCACTGCAATCATCAGTTATAATGAAGTCCACCTAAAGTATATGATTGTGTCCAATACACAAACTAATATGTAAGCTACACTAATTCGGAGTATAATATTAACACATTTACAGATCTCAACCTACATGTATAAAACGTCCTTCCTGGAATGCTGAACACATCACGTTATACTCCATGCTCACATCAAGTGGTAAATTCTTCTACTGGCACATTTCGGTAAAGTCGCACCGCTATATGACTCCTCGTCTGAGACAATACATTATGCTGCGCTGGTTTTTTAATTATTTGGTGGTGAGCAACATAAGTGTACGAACTTTATCAAACTAAACCGACTACGGAAAACCTACAAGTAACAAGTAACCATGGGGAGATAGCCGAAACAATATTAATTAACGGCTGTGGCTAACCTACAAAGTTAACCTGGAAGTATAACCAAAATAATACTCACTGACCAGAACTTTTTGAAACCTAAAAAAATATATATAATAAAGCACTAAAAGAAAGCTAACACTCTACCCATTTATGGCTATAACAAAAAGACACTCTGAAAGCTTTGGAAAGGTTAGAAATCCAAAAAACAAAATCATAAAATGAATAACTAAAGTGTTCAAATACAAAAGTCCCTAACGCCAAATCAATATCAAGAAATGACTGAATAGATGTAAATCCAAGAAGAGGGCCCCAAGATTGTTAAAAAATACAAGCTAGATTTGGCAAAGTATTTCATTATTTGAGTCCAGACATGAAATGTAAATTTAATCCAGATTGAAATGGGAGTTATCCTCTTGAAGATTGAACTTTGACCTCACCTGAGTCAGCACCAGTGAGCTCTTATCCTCCCCGCAGGCCTCCGCGATGACCTTGTGCAGCTTCTTGGGAGGCAAGGGAGCCGTGATGATCTTCTCCCTGGGCTCCGGGGGGATGCCCACCGACACCTGCTTCTGACGCACCAGGAGCGCCGTCACGGCCTGGGCTAGGTTCTCCACTCGTTTCTCCAGGATGCCGGCCGTGTGACGGACTACTGACCAGGCCTTGAAGTGGGCACTCTGAAAGGGAAAAGAAAAAAATAGGACTCAGGACTGAAAACAAGAATGAGAAATTAGTTGCGGACATGCCACAGTAAGACCCGAAGCCAACCCACCTTGTAATACAGTTCCTCCATGAGTGTCTGGACGGTCACTACCTGGTCCTGCCTCTTGCTGAGTTTGGTGTCCCACTTCAAGCCCCTGAAATTAAAGACGAAGAGTAAGTTCACAGCATGTAAGTCTCAAGTATCCTATTTAGGAGTCATCTTATTAAATATCCAGGGTTAAGTTGCAGACCAGGGCCAAATTTCATGGCGCTGCTAACCACAGACTTCCGCGCTTACGATCACCATTCTGTGCTAACAGCGCTGGCAGAAAAATTCTGCACTAACCCAGTAAGCACAGAATCCTTCCGGGATGTACGCATTCACACAAGCCAAAATTCCTCGCTAACCCATGAAACACGCTCACCGTAAGCACGGCACTTTCTGCTACAGTAAGCGGGCATTTTTGCTAACGGTAAGCAGAGCCAGGAAATAGGGCCCAGTTTACAGTATCCACAATACGCTCGTTCATTAGTGACAGGATTCCAAACAAATTTGCAAGTATCCGCCTGCAACGAAGTTATAAGTTAATAGTAAAACAATGCTGATAACTGCACAGGATAAAGATACCAGGTATGGGCTCCGTGCACAAGTACCCCTTCAACGGCCAGAAAAGGAAGAGTTGGGGGTGACCTAGACTGGTTCCCGGTCCATCCACTGCGTCTTTCGAATGATCCAAAGTTATTGGGGGCGGGGAGTAGTCTGGGAGACCATCGCAAGTTAAATTCGAACGTATTCGCGCGCTTACATCGCCTGACGCTCACGCGAAGACACTGTGGCTAATAGCTTTGGTACATTCAGGAAGTTATGCCTACTTCGCATGCGCATATGTACAGTACAGTACGCGCATGCTGTGTGTCCTGTCCACCGGGCTCTCACAAGTGGTAAAAACGCGCCCTCTTTTGTTGGTGCACGGAGCCCTTTGCAACCTCTCCTGGATATTACTGGGACTAGTATGGAAGCTTGACTTACTCTACCACGTAGAGATAGTGCAGAATGTCAGCCTGATCACTCAAGGACATGGACTCAGACAGCTGGGATAGAACTTCCCCAGAATTCAACCCTTTGTACATATCCACAACCTGACAAAAAATAAAAGGAGTAACATGTAAGTTAGACTAGCCCATATGGGGAAGTATTAAAAGATCCCTGGTAATGCGTAATGCGACTGTTAACAACTGAACCACTGGCGACAGTCTTAGGAACTAGGAGACCCAAAGATGAAAAGGGGGACACAATTTTCGACAAGTGAAAATACAAAACAGTATCACGTGAACATCAGAGAGTGTAAAAGTCCACAGTTCATACATGTCCAACTTGATTTTAGATTTATGACCAGCTTTGCGCTTTAATATGAGAGTTTGATTTCTGACTGAAATTAAGGTGTTACCACTTGGGAATCGGCAGGTTGAAAAATGAATTTGTTTTAATGTAGCTGTTTAATATTTATCGGTAAATGTCAAACAGAATACATATAAAAGGCCGTAGAGAGAAGTGTGCGACATCAAGTGGGAGCGTCTTTCAGATATCTCACCATCTTATCCTGCGTCCAGCTTGCCGTGCGCTTCATGGGGGAGGCCGCAAGGTCTTCGGGCAGGAGATGGAAGGACGGCTTGCTGCTCAACTTGTTGGGCGATCGGACGGCTTCTGTTTCAGGCAAACATTGCGATGAATGAAATAGGGCAAATCATTCAGACAAATTCTCGGCACAGGCGTTTGATGATGTACACAGGCCCTGGTCAGGGCCTGTGTCTGTTTTGTGACAACTGCTAAGACTTGTGAGAATACTGTAGCTCTCAATGTTGGGACCACAGCGACAGTTGTGGCATATGAAAGACGAGTATGTAACACAGACGTGAAGTTTAATGTTTAATGAAGCACAAGTGAGAATGTTACATTAGAAATGCAAGCAGTTAAAAGGAAAATTATCAGAGTTTTTACAGGAATGAGGGCAAACCACATCAATCAGTGAACACTACACACAGGATGAGTACTACATTAAGACTCCGGAAATGTTATCAACACTACACCAACAGCTACAGTTATATGAATACATATTAGAAATTGACAATTTGAAATGAAAGCAATGTGGGAAACAATTGACCTATCGCGGTAGAATCGCGCCAACGCAGCTTGTGAAATATTGTCCAAGTACATGATACACAAATGGACGCGGAAAATCTGAGACAAACAAAACTTAACGTACAAATTTCCACAGGGTTGTCTAAGGGGCGTGGCTAACTTGCAAACGGCGATTGGTCAATTGAGTTATAAGGTTACCCATCAAAAATTAATTTGTTAACAGACATGGAAGTAGCAATATGCAAGCAAATTGTAGCTAACACCACAATGTTATTACCATTCCAAAAGAGATTTTTCCTTTGATTTTCATAAACATGTAGGTAGGTAGGCACTTTTTTTCATTTCACAAATAAGCACAAAACAAGAACACCACACAGATTCATGCATGTTAATTAAACCAAATTCACTGCAAACATCCAATATTAGCCATCTGTACTGACGACGCCACACATTGTTTACATGTGTGCTTTCTTATGAAAGCCCGGTGGGGATGACGGTTTCGTATCCCCATAGAAAAGCGCACACGTAAACAAAGTGTGACGTCATCAGTACAGAGGCTTATATATGTGTCTCTCTTTCAAACACAGAGAGACAAATACTTTGATGGATTATCTCTGTATTACGTGTAGTTTTGTATATGTTCCTCTGCAAACCAGACACAAATGTGCACCCACTGTACTTCGGAACATTTAATTGATGATGTTTTCTACTGAACCATAGCAAACAATGCTTAAAGTTCATGTTGCACGTGTAATGATATGATGTGTGTATACCATAGATGATTTGCAAATTGAGAAAATTAAAGAAAATTTTTACAACCACCTAACATGCAAAACGAAATAATCCAGGTGTACGACGTTTTGGGGATGAATGCGATTCGAAGATTTTCAAAGGTGGAGAGTGTAACTTGAGAGAGTTTGAAGACAAACCGTGAGAAGTGATCAAAGAACCAAAGAGATGTAAAGAACCACATGTGATAACTCTGTGGAATGGATGGACTCCGTATTCCATGACGAGTTTGGCAGTGATTAGACAAAGAATGAACAAACAACATAAACACAAAGGACAAATGCAACTGTGACAAGGAAGAAATCAATGAAATTCACAATTTGTGCGTTAGGTCTGAAGCTGCCGTGAAAGGGATGCTTGCAAGATAATTGTAGTGTTTGTTAATTTGGCAATTTCAATATCTCCCCCTAAAAACAAATTCGAAATGAAAGACTTTTTTTGTCAAGATACTTCGTGCTATTATTTTTGTTTCCACTGTCCAAAGCAACTCTGCCCCTTTAAAAAGAAAAAAAACTGCCTGTTCACCAAAAATCAAAAGAAAAAAAAACAAAGCATACTGAAGTTTTCAAGCAATTTTGAAATATCATAGATTTCTTTTTCTTTTTTGCAATTATGAAACTTTCACCATAACACAAAAACGGCCAAAAAAGCAAAAATAAAAACTGGCTTATCCTAGTATCAATGCACTTTAGTGCAGCACACAAGATTTAATACTAGTTAAGGCTGTTGGAGTTTTCTTTCAATTTTTTTTCCCGGATCACCTATAAGAATTGTTAGGATTTTTTTTTTTCGTTCTTTCTTTTTGTTTTTCTGAAATGAAGTCTTGATGTTGTTCGTACCAAACCAAGTCATCGATTCCTGATTGGGGGAGGGGCTGACGTGCTCGACTATGTTGGGCAAATCCTCCACCTCCTCTTGCCGGAAGACGCCCTTCTTCCGACCTCTCCCACCCGTATAGCCTGTGAAGAAGGAAAGCATTTAGGGGTGGTGGGCAGGGGGGAGGGGGGCAAAGGAGACAAGGGATAGACAGTAAGGGGTGAGGACGCACAAAGCATAAGCGGGGGCAAAAGAAAAGGAAAACAACAAATCCAGAATCTAGATTCGGATATTAAGAGACAAAAAGTCCATGAAAATTGCGGATGGATATATTTTGTTTCTACATGTACTTTGCGCAGCAAATTGTGTGGTGCCTGGGGAAACCTGTTCAGTGTTGTGTTTGGAAACATTAAAGAAAACTGCATCGCTGAAAATCACGATTGATTTCAGTAAATACAGTCGACCGTTCCAAAGGTTTAGATTTTACAAAAAGCATGCTAAAACAGAACATGCAGCGACAATCACTGGCAGTCGCATGACTGTCCACAAACACAGAAACATCCATAGCTAAAATCTGACCCACCAGGTCTGCATGTACATGTACAAATGGGGACAACAAAAACAACGTAAAATTTTGCATAATTCAGTGAGATACAATGGTAAAAAAAGAAAAGGAATTAGCTTCTTACAAGATGTGGAACTTCAAAATTGAAAATGTTTATGGAAGATTCAAATTGCCATGTATTATGCCACGGTATGTTCATCAACCCTAACCCTCTTCAAAATCCACAAGAAACATCAGAAAGATTTGGAGGATTGTGCAAGATTGAGGAAAACAGAGTGAGTCAAAAAAAAACTGCAAAAATGAAAAAGGAGCCATCTTTTTTTTCGAAACCACGTTGAAGGTTGAAATTTTTTAAACATTGTAAGAATGACGTATTCGTTATCTACCTTGTGTGTAAAAATGAAGTTAATTGCATTCACCGTTTGTCTGTTGTGAACCTTTTTTACTGCGGTACCCGATTTATGTTTTTGTCCACAAGGCGTCTAAAAATTGCATAAGAGTACAAAATGTGTCCCCCAGAGCCGTTCTTTCCATGAGGTCTAGAGCTGAGACATGCATTGCCTTGCAGAGTTGCCAAGCAGAGGGCAGAGCTGCAATTGTGTCAACAATGAATGACACAGTAACTATAGTATAGCCCAGAGAAATTTTGTATATAAACAGATATCAGTTTTAAATCTGTGTTGTCTATAATGTCTTTATTGTACTGTTTCCGCTCGTATGCAAAATTCTGTTGCCTCGTGGACAAAAACGCAAATCAGGTACTGCATTAAAACGGTTCATAAAAGACAAACGGTAAATGCAATCAACTTGAATTTGGCACACAAGGTTACTAACGAATATGTCATTCATACAAGATTTAAAAATTGCAAAACATCAACTCGGTTTTGAAAAAAAAAGATGGCTCTTTGCATCATTGCCAATTTTTGACTCGCCCTGTATTTCCCAAACAATGTTACTTATCTAATACGTAGGCCTGGGAATCACAGCATGGACTGCTCATGTCCTTAACATTGTGGATGTTTGACATTGTGGATTTTGAAGGGACAGAGAGTTAGGGTGAATGCAACAATAAGCATTAATCCGTAGTTTCGAAAAAAACGAAGACCCCTTAAATGAAGACCGAAGACCCACTCAAAACGAAGACTCACTCAAAAACGAAGCCCCCTGGAAAACATAAGATCTTTGTTTTCGAGGGAAGACTCACTCAAAAACGAAGCCCCCTGGAAAACATAAAATCTTTGTTTTCGAGTGGGTCTTCGTTTTCCAGTGGGTCTTTGTTTTCGATTGGCTCTTCGGTCTTCGTTTTAGGGGTACACGTTTTCGATACTACCGCGTTAATCATGGCCTTTCAGCTCCAAGCATGATGATGAATGGATCGCTTTTTAAAATTATTTTTTACATGATATCTTTACTCATTCCTGCAAATAAAAAAACTGTTTATCAGAGCATATGATTAAACTAAAATCCAGAACTTGTACAGCTGTATCACTAATCACATCCAATGAAGTCTATCTTTTTTTTCAAGTACATGTAAATTAGACAACACATTTATGCGAAATTTTAAAGATAATCCTCCACAGAGTAACATGTTTAACTGAATGCAAAACCAAACCAATTTCTCCCACAATTTACAATTTCCATGCAATTTATTGACACCGAGTGGCGCTGATGTCGGGATGTCAAATACGGGCACTTGCTGTACTGTTTTGCGATTCAAAATAAAATGAAAACAAATTTTTTTTTTTTATCATTGCGGCAATTTATAGATTGTTCAGTCACTGACAGACTGCCGTGCAATGACAAACGAAGGGAACATAGGAATTGACCTCAGTTGAAAAGAAATACCTTTTGTCGGCAACAGCAAGTTAAATGACATCACTGTTGTGCACAAGAACATAAAAAAAATCACACTATTGTTTATCCAAAGATATTTTTTTTAAAAGATAAAAACCCTACCAAACCAAAATAATTCCTTTCCCTTATTGTTAAAAATTTATCCCAACTTACACAAAAAAGGACATACACACTTTTGTTTTACTATACTCCCGAAGACAATGCTTTGTGTTTCCCTTTGTCTCTGTAGTATATCACTCTCCCATAGACTAAGCACACGAACCTACTACAGAGGACCGTTTTGAACAAAAGACCCAACTCCCGAGGACTGAAAGGATCTGTTGTTCTCCCTTTGTGTGACTGTCCTCGGGGGTTATGTAGAACACGTACAAATGTGCATGATAACAACCATAAAAAAAATACCTGAAAGGGAGTATAACAAGTTTGGTGACTTGAAATCAAACTCCTTATCCTCTCCGAGTGATACCCAAGTGTGATTTCCCATGTTTGCAGCATTGATAATGTAAGTATTGCTAATTTACATTCAGGTTTATAACTTACCAACTGTCGCCCCATGAACAAAAACAAAATGTCATTTGGGAAAACTGCCAAAATAGATGGCTAGATAGCTTGACTGGTACAGCACATGTGCAGTACTCCCAAGGTCAACAGTTCAGATGCCAAATCAGTCGTTATCCTTGTTCACCCTATAGACTAATTCAACCAAACTGCTTCAACCAAGGTAAAGGGAAAGGAGACGAACCCGTGTTAACAGGAACGGAGTGCCCATCTCTCTTTCGTTAACCATTGGGCCAGACTCGTATGCTGCTGTTGGGGGATCGCCACACCTCCTCCACAGCGAGTCTGTTACCTTCCCAGCATTGAATAATGCCGGTACCCATTTCGCACCTGGGTTGAGAGGAGTAATTGAGGTAAAGCGCCTTACTCAAGGTCACAACACACGTGGCCACAGCGGAGCTTGAACCCATAACCTCGCGATCATGAATCCTGTGCTCTACCGCTAGACCACATGTGCCCTCGACCAATAGAGACACCAAAATGCGCACGTGCATTGTCTTTAAGAACGCATGCAGCATGCCCGTGAGCACATTACCACCGCAGTAACAGCTTCCAATTCTGGTTGCCGGATTCCGCTATAGAAGGTACACCACTCTCTTAACTCACCGTGTCCGAGGTCAATGGAGCGGGTGCGCTGAACGATTCCCGCGACGGACATCCGACGGGACTTCGGCGTTCCAGCGATCTGCTCCTCCGATGAAAGGGGTGTCAGGTTGGCCTTGCCGATGCCTTCCTTCATCTCCACCACGGGAGGCAGGAAGGGCCTGGGACAGGTCGTGGAGAGGTGTGGCTCCAAGTACTGATCAATGGTCATGTGTTCACCTGTGGCACGTTGGAATGTAAGGAGGGGTTTCAATAAGGGAATAAAATAATACGTGCTTGGCTGCTTTTACACAAGTACGTTTAAGACCAGCTCAACAGCCTGGACACTGATAATGGCCCAAGTCAAAGGCGAGGGACAAACTAGTTTGTCAATTTCCAATACCCTGGGGAGTTAATATTGACTATCCAAACCATTCAGTTGCCCAATTTTCCCATTGCAGTATGCACCTTGCGGGCAAAAAATCTTTAGAGAAACTTGTCCTGCTCCCCAGAAGAATGCTATTGCTCAACTTGATTATTTTCATTTTGTTTGCAATACAGTAACTCTATTGAAGAGTTTATACAGCCTTTTGGACAACTTTTTTAAGTACAGGAGGCATCTTTAGTGTCCACAATATTCTCCAGTTCAGTATCACTGAGCTCGGGAAAACGCTAATTAAACATTTATGCATGCAACTATCTTATCATGTGCAACTAGGGTGATATTCTTACGTGCATAATACAGCCATGCGACAGTTCAACGATTACTTCGTAAAGCGAATGCGTAGTAGACTGTCGCACGGGTAACCCATGTGACAGTCTACTACACATGCGAATTTACCCTGTGCGTGAATACTCACGCGCACGCGCGCAGTTAACAGCAAAAATAGCATCTGGCACGTGATGGTGAATGGACCAGTGAGAATTCGGCTCCCGATCATGAATATGTATGAGGTATAGTAAAAAAAAAAAGGTTGCATTATGATAGTTGATAGCACTGGTGGGTAAAATTGAAAATAAGCCAGCATCCAAATTTCTCAGCTACGGCTATGAAAGCTATGAAAGCGGCCTAGCCGCTCCCCATAGATAAGTGTAATACTGCTAGCCGTAGCCAGGTCATTCTGGCCGGAGACTGACCCTGCTGTGCTGACTCCAGGAAGCTCAGGTGCTTGATGCAGGAAGTGCTCAGGAACTCGTGGAGATGACCCATCTTGACCTGAACGCCGTTCAAGTAGCCGGTCTTGATCTTGCGGATGACGGACCACATGGCGCCCCCTAGCATGCCTTGCTCACCTTGACAAGAAAAAGACGATGATCAAAATAAGCAACAATAGATCCTCTAATGCGGATAGCGGCCAGACCAGTTCCGTGCAGTGAAAGTATATGTTGCGCTGCATTGTGGGACAGTTTACGCTGCACGAAATCCCAGTCACGCAAATCGTCCCAGGATACATACTTCCCATCTACTGGTAAAAGTGTCTATGGAAACTCTGCAATCGATATCAGGTTGATCAAAGAATTTGACAAGAGTGGGATCTGAACGTGCACTTTTGAATGGAAATGGCCTACATGTATATGTGGGTTTTTCCCAAATTTCAGCTTCATCTCCGATTCAGTCTCATCTATGGTTCCAGAGTCATTTAGACGCAAATAGCTATACTAAATTACTAGAGCGCTAACTCGCTGTACAAATGAAGCCTGCTGGGTGCATCCATGTTTGTGCACCAACCTATGGAAAACTCGAAATTTACTACGGCTTGAGCACGGCTATTTGCATGTGTTTTTTTATACCAGTGCATTATCGAAGCTATATGTACTGGCACAACAAACTTTTTTATAAACACAAGCGGGATGCCACGCTGCGCGCGTCTGGGCGTCTTACAAATGATCAGTGCGCCCTCAATTGACGTATTTTAGAGTCAGGTTTGGAAATACATGTACATGTACATATTCATATCGTACGAATATGTATGATCGACTATTTAAGGGTATTTTGCCACATTTTCCATCATGAACATTGTGTTTTGCACAATAGCAATGCATTTGGGAGTGTTTTCATAGAGATAGTGTTGTAATATTTAACTATTCAAAGTCTGAAAGAAACAAATTTGCCAAAAAAGCACCAACAAAACAAATAAATCATTTTTTTTGCACGTGCCAACTGCTACTTCAGAGGACAGTGAAATCGGGACATATATATATACACAACTTCAGGACCTATGTACAATAACCAAGCCTCTCCATAGACCGTTGTATTTTGTGCTTGTGCTCACACTTTAGGCCTTTTACACACACAAAAAAACATGACACACAGACAGACAGACATCAGACAGACAGCACGACCGACCGACAACAGACAGACAGACAGCCCGACAGACAGACAGACAGTATAGGATCTTTTAATATAGGATGCATCTCTATGGGAACTTGATCCCTACTAAACACGACACAACTTTGGAAAGGAACTACCACACACAGAAGCCCTCACCAGCTGGGTCAAGCTCCCACTGTGTCTCTGCAGACTGAGGCTCCTCGCCTGTTTGTTCATTGTTCTTCGGTGGGTCTGTAACCACTTTCTTCCTTTTGCGCAATCCTTATGGGGGGTTGTCGCAAAGAAATTCAGTGTTCAATACATGTATTACTTCAAGGGACGGGGGTTTGTGTGCTTTCAAGCCAACAAGTACATGCTACGTACGGGTTATCTGAGCAACACAAAGTATGGCATGGAAACCGTGCAGAGTATTAGCTAGGTAGCTTGCTTTGACGTTTCTGCAAGCACATTTTTCTGCATGCAATTACACATGGTCCCCCTTGCCGACTGCAAATATTAATAGGCAATTTGGCATTTTTTCTTTAACCCTCCTGCTATTTAAACAGTCACAGACAGTCAAATGTCCATCGTCTTCCCCGGCTATACTTTTAACACAGGCTTGTCACCAGCAGTCAGATCATATGTCAAGCAAGCACCGTGACTAGTCAAAGTCAGTCAACAGACCATGAACAGACAAAGCAGGCAAGCTGAGGTCACAGCTGGCTTATCAATCACCCAGAGTCAAAGCACAGCTGTATCAAGTTACATAAACAGTCACAGCCAGTCAATCCTGCTTTATGTAGGCTGGGAATTCTTAACTGTTAAAAACAGTCACTTGATTGATTTTGACTGAAAGGACTACTTGGCACAGAATGTGTATTTGCGTAGAAGGGTTAAAACAAGTTAGAGCTTAGTATACGAGGGAACATGACAATACAAGGATCTCCACAGAATGACCTCTGAAAGCCAAGGACTGGAAGGCTAGCAAAAAAAAAGGTTTCAGAACGAAAAAATATAGCAAGGCATCATAGAGGCATGATTGCAAGCGTGCTCTTTAGAAACTGGCAACAACAAAAACACAATCACAGTCCTCAAAAAATATCCCTGTTTCTGAAGGACACTTTCAGCTGAACAAGTACAATTTCAAATGTGGTATCTCAACTAGATCTCGGTAAAAAGCCTTGCCAAACTCGCATAATTTGCAACCGAATGGAAAGAAAAGAAACAAGTAGAGCTGTGCATTTTGGAATAATTTAGTATTCAAGTCTTCCAAATTAGACTTGATCGAATATTTGAATGTTCCATTTTTAAATGCACCAATCAAGTTAAAAATGCGCCGGCCTAAACTAGGCGAGTATCGGGATTTGTGTGCACCTACACTGGCTGGAAATTAATAAAAAGTTTATTTAAATTATAATAAATAAAAAAACAGGTAGCAATATGGCTGACATTTGACCAAATTTAAAGAAGAAATTTTGAACTAATGTTCCTCACAAAAGTGGCTTACAGCAAAAAAGTGTAGCATTTGACAAACCATAAAACCATGCAACTTTATACGTTTAAAATAACATCACAGATATTTTTCATTCATCTCCTCAAGATCACTCAAATTTGACAAATATTTGAAATGAAAAACAATGTCACTCGGATATTTGGCAGATGATTGAATTTTTGGATATCTGGTACATTGGACACAGCCCTAAATCACGAGAAAGAAGCCTTTTCAGGCTCACAAAATTTGCAACAATATGAACGGAAACAGAGTAATTGTGGTGTTTATATTTAAAATTTACAATATAGGGGCCTAAGTGTTCTGGACACAATGTACCAGATTATACAATGCTGGGGAACATGGAACAAAACATCTAGTAGCGTTTCTCTCTGAACTGTTTAACAAGTTTTTGAAATATAGGTAATTAATTTTCCTACTGCGTAGCAAGGGAAAGGAGGAAAATAAGACAAAAGCTCACGAGACAAACATGTATCTAGTAGCAAGGACTTTAGCTATAACACTTATGGTTGGGGAATACTAAGCAGTCCATTCAAAAATGTCAATTCAAAAACATGTTTGAAAATACACGTATGATATTTATTATTAACAATGCATATCAAGATAACAATCATATAATTATGATTCACATCCATATCATGTAATTCGATCAATAAGAACAACACAATAAACTTAAGACATAATAACGTCACGCTCTGTTTACATGTGTGCTTTCCTATGGGAGCCAGCTGGAGACAATTAGCTTGCATCTCCACCTGGCTCCCACAGAAAAGTGCACATGTAAACAAAGCATGACATCATTATGTCTAAAGGTCTATTGTAACATTGCATACTTTCATTGACCATATTTGATATCTTAACTCAAATGCCAGCTATATGCTGCACAGTTAGGTTAGCTGACTTGCAAGGATTTACTGCATATTTCCCTTACATCAATTTACTGTAAACTTAGCCATCCCTGTTTGCCAAAGCCACTTGTATGGAAAGTCCCCTAAAAACTGTCGACATCAAACACATGGTTCCTATATGATTCCATGGGTTTCCCCAGAAAATGCTTCCACGTCGTCCTCCCACCTCTAAAATGGAAAATCTCTTCATCAACTTCTCCTAGCTAGGTTTCTTCAGTGCACTTAATAAAACAACATCTGGTTTTATTACCAGAAGGAATTGATCAATTATTACTTACCCATCATTGTGTGGGTGATGATGAAGGTGACTATGGGCCGGCCGATCTCCCTCCAGTTGTAACAGAGGTACGCCACGTCTGTCTTGGAGATATCCGACAGCAGGTCATTGTCCAGGGCCAGGTAGAAGTGATGCTGATCCATGAACTGTAAAGTTACGCGGCAAAGAACAATTGTTGGGTACCAGTGATAAATACTTTGTAACATTGGGACTGGGAGAGAAATTGCTTCAGTCATATATGAACCTACTTGGGATGTTAAAAATGAAACATTTTCAGTAAAAATTGACGGAATCATTAATACGTTCATTGCATGTGTCGGCAATTTTGGAAAACATAGCCAACAACTCAGGAAGACCGTTCGTCTTTGTCGGTCCCACTTGTTCAAACGCAACCAAAGTTAGCAAAACGTTAACATTGTTCCGGTATCAAGTGGACTACATCTCAGAAATGAACCGATAATTTCGTTGCTGGTGACTGGCTCTGACCTGTCTTTTTAACTAGCTTACTACACAAATTGGACGGACGCTATCTGATGCTCAACTCGTCAATGAAACTGAACCCGGGTCTTTACCTGGGGAACGAATGCCAGGATCTCTCCTCGGACGTTGTAGAGTTTACTGGTGCTTAGGAGACCGTTCTCCTTAGAGACGTTTCCTGAAAGACCCAACTTCTTGTTCTTACCTTAACGGAAAAGAAAACTTTACTTGTCAATCATAATAAAAACATATTCCTAAACTATTCCCAATTTTTCAAATGAAACAGAGATAAACTGACTAGGTGAATTATAAAAAAAAAATTGAAAAGTTGAACAAAGAAATTGACTGGAGCGGGGTTTGAACCTGCGACCTCCGGATTACCGTTCCGGAGCTTCTGACTAGCACCCCTTGGGATATTGACGAATTGGGGAACCGCCAACATAGAGCTGGATAGCTCAGTTGGTAGAGCACCGGAACGGTAATCCGGAGGTCTCAGGTTCAAACACCGTTCCAGTCAATTTCTTTGTTCAGGTTTTCAATAAACTATTCCCCGATAATAAAGTGCAAACAATTTTCAAAAGCCTTCTCCTTTACCATGGAGACAAATTTAGCCTTTCAGTCTGGCACAGACTAGGACCACATGGCCTAGAACCGAATTTAGTTTTCTGCTTTAAAACCTGCAAATTTTGTAATTTGTTTTGCAAATTCTTATTACCTAATCTCTTGTATAAATGAGTGAGCACACGCGCTGGGTAGATGCGGACTGGCGAGACCTCTTCAATGGTCTGGACGTCAAAGCCGTGCTTCTTCAATGACTCTTGAATCAGTTTATCCTCGGCGACCAAAGACACTGAAAAAAAAATACAGAAATTAGAGAAAAGAATAATTGATAAGTTGAAATCTTTAAACATTAAATGAGCTAAGTTGGTTAGGTATTACCAAAGAGCTACGAGACATCTCCTGTAGGCCCACAACTATTGTTCAGTTATTTGATCACAGTGATCACAATTTTTGGTTCAAAACATAAAAAAAAACAATTTTGCGAAATTAACCTTCCATTCAGATTGACCACGAGCACAAGCCAATGAACTCTTACGCCAAGAAGTCAAACAAAAAAGATGCTGGGATACTTGAAAGTCACCACAACTTGGTCCAAATTATCCTTAACCCTAACCTTCCCAAATCCTCCAAAATGCTTTTTGTAAAAATGTGTGGCTGATTTTGGAGGATGAACTGTGTCAAGGTCTTGGGCCAGACCTTGTGTTGTTTATGCTCAGCTGTGCATAAATTTAGGCTTATGATTTACTTGAAATCCTCCACACTGCTCCAAGATGTCACTGGCTCTGCCTCAACATATTGACAGTGATTGCTGGAGGATTTTGCAGGATTGCGGCAGTGGTCACCCTTTCCAAGGACCACATTCAAGAAATAACTGAGGATTTTTGAGGATTGAGGCTGTATCCAATTTTTACATGGAGGCAGTTGGAGGATTTTGCAGGATTGAGTTTGCATCCTAGCAAAAATGCCTAGGGAGTTAGGGTTAATAAAAATCTTCCCCACAGTAACACTGTCCCCAACCCAAACACCCCCACCACCCAACGACCCACCCCCATCCCCTAACCCAAGGTACATAAACTCACCCTGGACAACAAGGTCCGGTTTGGGTTCCATGGACATGCGTCGGTTGAGCGGATCCACCTCTCCAGGGGCCACAAAGCCCTCCTGAAGCAGCAGGCCCAGGATGTACAGAGACTGACCCCAGATGTGGGGGATCTTGCCGCCGGGCAGCCGGTCCTGGCTGTGGGGGTTCTTGTACTCTAACCCCACCTATTTTTAACAGAAAAAAAAGTCTGCGTAAATGTTGGCAAGGCAAAAATCTGATTCACCCATGTTCAATCAGACAGGGGCGACAAGAACCAAAATGTTGACATCTCTTCAACTCGACCTTAAGTGTTGAGAAGCATAGTATCGCTTTGCCATGTCTGACAAGCTTTTGGCCTGAGAAGCTTTTGGCTATATCAAGCAAAACTAAAAAAAAGAGCAAATTCATTGCTCAGTATTCACCAGGAAACCTAGTCTTGACAAAGTATGAAAGAGTAATAATTAGATCACACTGAAGAATCTCACAGACACTGCCTAATGAAACAATAAAGACTGTCTGAAATAACCGTTTAGCCATCCTACTGTCTGAACGTAATCTGTGAATGGGTGCGCGCACGCGTTGACACGATGCACGCGCACACAGTTGCTATTATTCGTCAGTTCGGTGCATGACATCGCGTAGCTGCAATCGGTGCGATTGGAAATATGACTTGGCAAGTTTAAAATGAAATTGAGATCCTGGAATATTGTTTTCTCGGAGTATACGGCACTCACAGAGCTGAAACTTCATCAAATTAGTTGTTAAGCACCTGCCTTGAGCACTTTTGTTGCTTCGAAAAAAATCCAAATGACGTCATTTCCTACAGACAAGCCACGTGCAATGGCATTTTGAGCGTCAACTTGCGTAGCGCACATCGGCTGCGTCGTATTTCAAACACATTTCGAGCAACAAGCGCGCGTGTTTGGAATGTTTTCAACACTGCGCAATGCGTGCTTGATTGCGTAAAATACGCAGTTGCACTTCTCCTACAGAGATGGCCATCTTTGAGAGAGACCTATTGACAAACGGTCTGCTCTACCTTAAAGCATAATATACGTGCAAGGTTGTTGTCTATTATATTGGGTTTCTCAATTCTAACCTTATCTTTAGGGACGTAGTACAGCTCAGGCACCACTTTTGTGGAGTCACTCATTGGTACCAGGATGTCCCGAATGCCCTCGGCGTACTCATCCGCCTGCTCCTTGTTGCCCTTGAACACGCCCTCAATCAGGAGGTAGGTCCAGAACAGCGGCCACTCACACTCGATTTTCTCAAAGACCTTCAGCTCGGCCGGCTCGTAGTACAGTCGGTTGGGATCCTTGGAAAACAAGCAGACAATGATTTTCAGTAAGGCTAGAGGAGTCTGCATTTGCATCGTGGTGAATCAATAAATAAAGGAGGGAGTAGGTTTGTGAGTTGCGTGTGGTTCTGAGACGAATTGGATAACTTGATGTTTGTAACAGTGAACTCCGCTCCTAAGCAGGAATTGATAGATAGTTTTTACAAAAAGTCAAGTTAACTGATTTTTTTAGGAACCCCATACAACTCACCAGAGAGATATGTGTATACCACAAAATCCTTTGACTGAAGTACAGAACTTGTTCAAAATTCTCACTTGTTATGAGATCTTGTGTGATGGACACTTGATACCGGTTTCTGCACAGTGCATCTTAGTCAAAACAAACCCAGACTTTGGCAAATAAAAGAAAATTGACTGCTTACTTAACTGCAAAATAGTCTTCAGCAAGGGCTGTGTGACATAAACTGTAACCGTGGACCCCTTCTTCTACTTATTTCTTACTCCAGTCAAGGAACAATACGATGGTAAATTGTAAAATGGGTTTTTGGAGACCAACCATAACTCAAGGGGATAACTTGTAATTCATTCAAACTTTAGCCCAACTTTTTGGTAAGACTGAGGATTAATGACTTCACATTTCAATTACTTTTTTGGAGGAAGGACGAGTGCAAGTCAATTTTTTTTACCTCCAAGGCTGTTTTGTACCCGTCTCTCAGGAATCTACAGCATCCGTATCTCCCCTGTAGTTTGTCTATAATGTGTCGGCGGGTCATGTTGGCTATGCCTTCATCGTCGACAGCAAATGCAGGGAAGCCGATGATACCAAGGAGACCTGCATCTATCTCCTGAAATTAACAACAAGTCACACAGAAACAACTGCGTGAATATCAAGTATACATGCATCATCAAAAATCTGTTTAGTATGATGGAATTTTGCTTTGGGGAGATGTTAATTCAATAATCCTTCTTTTTTTTTGGTTGCTCATCATTGACTTAATTCTATACTCAATGCTTTACAAGAGTTTGCAAGAATCTTTTAATTTTTTTTGCAAACTCTGAGAGAAAACAATTGGGGGGAGTGTGGCCAAGAGGTTAGGGTTTGTGACTCATGATCAGAGGGTCAGGGGTTCGAATCCAGCTGCTGGTCATATGTTGTGTCCCTGGGCAAGCCACTTTACCCCCACTTGCCTCTCTCCACCCAGGAGTATAAATGGCACCGGCATTAGCTGGGGAGTAGCCTGCCATGGATTAGCATCCCATCCAGGGGGAGTAAAAGTATCCTCAGTTTTGTTCATGTCAAGGAAACCTGGAGGTAAATGTCAGTCTGATGGGCCGTATTGGCTGGTGACAGACTTTCCTTTTTTGAAGTAGTGTAAACTACTGATGAAATTATGTCAGTGAAGGGCAAAGTCGGTGCCTATCTATCAAAAACTGGCACTGACCAATTAGATGAAACTCAGTCACAAGCATCGTGAGAAATGTATACAGACCACAAGCAAAATCCACAACAGTTTGTGAGAAAACATGTGTAAACAGAGCATATCGTCAGGATTCTTTTTTCCCCTACCCACCTTGGAGTTGGACTCTCTGGGCAGCATAGAGTACAGGACTGCCTGGCACTTGGCAATCATGTCTGCCTTGACACAAATTACCGAGGCTGGGCCTCCCCGCGCTCCAAACAGGTCCAACTGATTCAACGCTTCCATGGCCGCCTGTCAAAAAAGGGCAGCAAAAAAATGAGTGTCAGTCCTTATCTATGGCCAGTTTTGCTCAACAAATCTTCCTGAATTCTCCACTGCGCTGGAAACACGATGACAAAAACAATTTGTACTTTTGGTTGATTTTGAAATTTTGAAAGATTTTGCATAGGATAAGGGAGAAAAAAAAGTGCAATGCTATGGATGTTTACCTTTGCCATTCCAATGGAGCTTGCATTCAGTTCAGGGAAGCCGTGGTTCGTCTTGTCACTTCTTTCCCAAATTCCATAATCCTGTCCAATAAAAAAGTGGGGTTTTTTTTTTTATTCGACTCGTTCAAAAGTTATTTAACAAGTACCAAGTGGTACAACCCACAGCGGTTGGGTAGCAGCGAGGCCGGGTAATGTGTGAAGACGGCTATACGGCACCGTCTATGCACCCAGGCCGTTCTGTACCTCGAGCATGCAAATTAGATGCATGCGCAACAGTGTTTGCAAAACCGGTCTTCGAATGCAAAGCTGAAATACTTAAGTCGTTATACTTGCAAAGCTATAATACTTGAGTTGTATAGGTAAAGTATGGCCGAGTAAAGTGTCCACCAACCAACCAACCAACCAACATAAGCAGCTCAAGCCCACGGCATGTTTCACACCGCCTTGGGAAAAACAAACAGCTACTAACGAGAATGAAATGAGGATCCAAAATACAATAAGGAAAAGATCGTTATTCTAGATTGTGTATTAATACTCACAGGTATCCGATACGCATGCTCGATGTAGAAGACAAGATTTTGGACAAAGGCTACTTCATCAAGGGTAAATATAATCTGCAATCCTGTGGAAAATAAACGAGAACATTACTGTCAGAGTTTACTGTTATAATCAATCAGGTTGGCGTACCGGTACTTTCCTCGCCTTCCACCGCTGTGACCCGGGTTCGAATCCCGCCTGGGCAAATGGATTGGGTTTTCAGTCCCTATACCTGATTACGTGGGTTTTCCCCAGAATGTTCTTCTGGGGTTTCCCACCTCTAAAACTCTAATTTCTTCTCATTGTATCCTCTCTACAGGTTTCTTCAGGCTTTTGAGCTACAGTGCCTAGGGCGCTTTTGAGGAATCCTTGGTTTCATTACCAGAAATAAATAATAATAATAATAATAATCTCACTATGTATGATAATTCGTTTCAACTCCTTTCATTTCCTGACTTTATTTACTCATGTGCTACAGAGGGAACTCTGCAAAGATCTATCTGTGACCAACATTTGAAGAAATTCAAATACCCAAATCTTAGGTTCCTACCTGATGCAGTCATCTGAGCCAGCATCAGCAGGTACAGCGACGTGGCGTCAATCTGCAGGTGGCCCCACTCGTGGTCCCCAACGCAGGGGTCGCCCGTCTTGATGTTGTACTTGGCGTGCAGGCAGTCCTTGCGACTCTGGGTCTTCTTGAAGGCTTCCACCTTCTCCACTTGCTTCATCATGGACATCAGGAGGCCTCGCATGAGTTTCACTACATGCTGCGTGAGTATGGACAAGATACGCGTAGGTCATGGTCTCATTTTCATGGTATATAAGGGAAGAAAAATCAGAGTTGTTACGTATTCAGTTCAAAATAACTGATTACGGAACACAGACCCTTCACCCTAACCTTTCCAAATTCTCCAAAATCCTCCTTGCATTTAGTGGAGGATTTTGAAGGACTGAGGCTATGTACGGCAAAAATGTGTGGCTGATTTTGGAGGATTCTCTGTGTCAAGGTTGTAGGCCGGACCTTGTGTTGTTGATGCTCAGCCGTGCATAAATTTAGTCCCGGATCATACTTGAAATCCTCCGCACTGCTCCAGGATGTCACTGGCTCTGCCCTAATATAGTCACAGTGATTGCTGGACGATTGTGCAGGATTGAGGCAGTGGTCATCCCTCCAAGGACCACATTCAAAAATAACAGATGATTGTGGACGACTGAGCCAGCCCTGTATGCGGCTTTTACAGGGAGGCAGTTGGAGGATTTTGCAGGATTGACGTCGAATCCTAGCAAAAATGCCTAGGGAGTTAGGGTTAAGGATAATCTAGAGATAATGCCTTTGGGGTAGAATTCTACACTTCTTCCAACTCCTACCTGTTCTAGTTCGTAGGCTTTTGCCCTGTCTTCATCCAGATCAGCCTGCTTCCTGTACGCCAGTGCCAATCCCCACACGGAGATGACACTGTATACGTTGTCTCGTACCCACGCATCTTTTAGAACGGTACTCGCCGGCAGCAGACCAGTCACAGGATGCTGTAAAAAAGCACAGAAAAACGTCAAGTTACACACCAGAAATATCCTTTCCAAAAAATGAACTCAAATGCTTTACTAGTAGCAATCACTCAAAATGTATCTATTTAACCCTTACTCTCTGAGGGTAGTTTACTGCATGTCAGTTGGTTATGCCAATGCCCTCCAGCTGCAGTTTATTGGCAGATAAACTATCTTGACAGTGAAGGCTCCAATTGGCAGGAGTTGGAGGCCCTGGAGGGTGCCTGATACTGACCAGCTGGGGGCACTCACTTTGTTATCAGAGGACTCTCATTGTTCTCTGTGGCATGTATTGGAGTGCCTGTCCAGTTACCCTTGAAATGACATGGCAGATATTGGAGGGCCATGCAAAAAACATAGGAGATTTTCTTGAGGCACATATTGGCATGCGTTGGAGGGTCCAGTAGGGTAAGGGTTAATGAGCCAAATGCTACCTCCCATTACTAAAATACAAGGCATTAGATGATGTAATAAAATAAAGACATGTCACACAAAACTGCTGGAATGTACATGTAGGCCTATTGTACGATAAAAGTGTACTGTGTAGGCCTAGGCCTACAGTGCAGTAGAACATGTTATCGTTCAAAAATGACTTTTGCAACCTCAACCAATTAATCTTTGTTTCCCCTAACGTTAGTTTTAACAAATTTCAACAGTATTTTGACCAAACAAATGAGCTTACATGTAATTTCAAATTGTTCAAGATAATGCGGTGGGATCGGAATCAACAGTTATTGATTTCCTAAATTTTTTGTTAATGAATTTAATTTAATTAATCTAAGTTATTCAAACTAGCACACTCTCCATACATTACTTAAGATGGCATAGGTCGTAAACATGGCCATGAGACCCCCCTCCACCACCACCACCCAACAACTCCCCCCCCCCCTCATCCAGTCCCCCCCCCCCCGCCCGCCCCCCCCCCCCCCCCCCACCCCTTCCACAATTCTGTTTACAGTTTTTGCCTCAAATTACCTGGTGAGAAATGATAGTTTTTGTGACTAAACGATGATAGAAATCAAGTCGCACACCGGAGTTACTTCTGCTCCGCATGGTTGTGCCATAGAATCACGTCATTTTCAAGCAAGAAGGAAGTAAATGAAGACTAAATTCTACCCCATTCTCCCGAGACTCTGCGAAAAATATTTACTTTTTTAATTCGCCAGATGTTACTAAATCCTATCAACTACATTGAGCACGACTAAGAAAAAAATTACTACGGGACCGTCTGAAATCCTTTGACGTACAGTTTTGTGTGCACTTAATGTTCAAGTTCCTCGGTGTTTTTGAACCGATGCTTGGTAAACGTTTAAAAAAAGATGATACCCCGTGATATTCAAAGCATTGATTTCTTTTCTCCTAATGAAAACAATTTGTTTGTTTTGTGTTAACGAAAGCAATTACTTTATTCCAATTTTGGGCGTCTCAACCCTCTGAAAAGGGGCTTTCGTTTTGCGCGCAATGAACCCGCCCTGCACGAAGTGCTGTATGATCATTGTCTGGCAGCCAATCAGAATTTGGCGAGGAAATAATTTTTATATTTTCGTTCGATCCTCAAAAGTGAATAACTTTTAGATTGTTAGGAAAATAGCTTATGAAAAATCTAATGTGTTTTAGGAGGTGAAATTCGAAGATGGAGCTCGAACGCATAACTTTAACTTGGCAGTAACTGTTTTTTACTCGGAGAGGTGAATAAACTGAAAATAAGAATGAATTAGTTTATTGGACTGCCAAGGCAACATTTTAGACACCTTTTTTTTTGGGGGGGGGTATAAGTTTATGTTGTGCATACAATCAGAATGCTGTAAAAACAAATCACGCTAACTTTTCGAAGATGATCCCTTTCTACCTGGGCCCTGCGCCAACACATTTAAATCATTCCGGTTTAGCACAGTCAGGCGGATTAAAATGATTACCAATCATCAAATTAGGAACTAATGCTTGAACAATTTAGGACTAATAAATTATTTTAGTCAGCAATTTTAGACACGTTAAAAAATTTCCTATCAACTTTTATTTTTCAAGTAAATTATCAACCAGCTCATGGAATTTTGAAGGAAAAAAATCATCGGGTCAAAGGTCGTTGAAAATATCGACTCCGCCATCTTTGTTTTTTCGTTTCAGATCGTGACGAAAGTTCGCAACTGAAGGTTTGTAAATCTCGTTTTTATCAAGATTTACGCCAAGGTGGTATTTTAAATTTTAAATTCTGATTCAATTTGATTTAAACGTTGAAATTTTGTTTAGTTTTGAGACATTACTCGAATATTAACTTAGAATTTTGCAATGTTTAAACTTTAGGATTCGTTTGGTCTCTTTTTTTTCCATTCAATTCAATTTCAATGTTTCGTACGCGAGTTGCACAAAGTCAACAGCGATACACGTAGCGCGGTTCCACGTTTCCCCCGACTTTCCTTAATCCCTCTTGCACTGCAGTGTTGTCATAACCCTCTATGTTGACAAACTTCAAATTCATTCAGTTAAATACTGGTACTTTTACCTTATTAATTCTTGCTGACCTTTGTGAATAATTTCGTGACAATGAAACGACTTTATTTTTAGTCCGAAATTCAAAAATGGTGGAGTCCGGAAATTGGGCACAAAATCGGCAAGTGCTCCATCCCTAACGAGGCCCACTTGAACAAATCTCGGAAAATCCCATGTTAACATATAACTTAAGAATTTCTTTAAAGAAAAAAAAACTGATATAAGTGATAAACCAATATTGTCTTTACTCATCTATGATCTACCCAACTCGAAGTTTGTCAGAGAAATATTTTCTTATTTTTGGGTGCATTTTAAAGCGTTCACTAAGTTGACTAACTATGCAGGTTTTGAGAAGAAATAAAGTACAAAAAAGTAATTCATGCACTTTGAAATAAAATCGTAAAATCATGCAAAAATATATTTCTCTGCTAACTTTGTAATGGGTATAGGTAGGCCTAAACTCAAAGAGTTTTGAATGGGAATGTTTAGAGCCAGATAAAATTTTACTTACTGTGATATTTCAGGTAAAACGTTTGCTCCAGCAAGGCGCTAGAGTAGGCTATAGGCACAAAATAAAAGTGGGCCACGTTAGGGGGCCGCGCAACATTAGGGGACATTAACAAGACAGGCGTCTGGGCCTGGCAAACTTGATGAAAAAGAATTTGCGGAACTCCAACGGATAGCACTCTGCACAGAACTTGGCCCCATGGGGAAAACAAAGATTAACAATACCTTGGACACATAAAAGTCATAGCTCTCATTCAGATTAAGAATGAAATTGTGATCCGAAGGCCAAATGAAATAGCTGATATTTGGTCATTCAACATGTTGAAATGTCAGCAAACAATTCTACTACATGTATTATTTCCAGTTCAGTTAAGTTACTTCCCAACCCATTGTCTTTCTTTGTCAAGTTGAAAAAGGGTGTACTAGGCAATAATTCAAAAACTTTGGTTCGGTTCATATGATAATAATGACATTAATGTAGAGGGGGCCCAGTAAACACTGGAAGTCAAGTCTTTGGGCTATATGGACCCACAGAATACTTAACAAGTAGTCTGAACTCTGAAGGCCAGAGACTAGAGTCCCCTTTATAATTTTAACATGATATTTTTATAACAACAGATCATCATGGGACACCTCAAGTTTGGCGTGCTTGCCAAATACAGGAATGTCATCACCTACTCCTTGTCCCCCTACGAGCAGAACCCCTTTGCCGGCTACTTCAAGAAAGGCATCCCTAATATGTGGAGAAGGTTCAAGGGGCAGGTCTTCAGAGTTACCCCACGTAAGCTGAGCCCCATTTTCCCATCATAAATCACGTTAAAAAAAATTTAAAAAAATTTAAAAAAAGAGAAGGACATAAATTTGTCCATCTTTTTAACTGATACAATACCTGTCGGATTGCCTTTTCTATAACAGAAGTCTTTACCTATTATTAACCCATCATGACTGATTTCTTCCTTCTTTTTTAGCTTTCATCATGGCTTACCTGGTCTATAGCTACGGAGTCACAGAAAACACGAGAATAAAGAGGAAAGACACCTCTTTGTATGCCAACGACGAATAAAGTAACCGCCGAAGTGTGCGCAGAATATGGCCTGGCAGACCTTCAAGCTTGGAACATGCAATTTCATCAACTAGGACAGTCATGTGTTTAACGTACAAGATTTAGGACCACTGTGAATTCAGAAGCATCGGTTGGATCAAGACAGCGGAAGCCGAAGCGCCTGAGTACACAAGAAGATTGTGATCAAGTTTAAGTACGGACAGTCTTCAGTGTGATCTGCAGTGCTACCTTCAGCGAAACAAGTTTTATCTTCAGAAAATTTCCTCAAGCATGTCAAGAATCACTTCATTTGACGGATGAATAAAAAGTTATATTCAAGTTTTTCGGGTTTTGCTCAGTCTGTTTGTGTATTAGGTGCTCCAAAGAGGGGTTAACAGTGTGATTTATTTTGAAAGTCAGAGATTGGAATGAATAGAGTTTGTTTTTGTACAATATTTACAGTAATACACTTGCACGCTTTTGGTTCCATTTTAAGTTGTTGATGTAAATCCTTCCTTGCATGATGACTTTGGGTTAAAACAGATTGCTGTATCGAAGTGGATTCTGTGTAATAAAAAAAATTAAATGCTTGTTAAAAACTTTTGTTATTAAAAACAAAGTTAAATTTGAAAGATACATAGTTGCCCTTTGAATCCTCATTTTGACTTCAAATGGAAATGAAATTACTGATAGTTATTGACTCATGACTGTTGTCTTTTAAATTTTCTTGCTCTGCATTGCTTGGAATTTTAATTTATTATAAACTGTCACTTCCAAGTAAATCTTCCAAAGAGATGGTACTTTGTGACAGCTCTTGCGTGTACATTGCACATGTAGCCGATTGTACACATGTACATGTGGTAGGGTTCATGCGCCACATGAACTGTTTTGTCAAGAAATAATACTACATGTACATGTACATAATGTACGTGTGTTTGTCAGATATACAGTCGAACCCGATTAAGAAGAGCACTGTTTAATAATACAACATCTTGCTTATAAGAAGGAAAATGTTAGGCACAAAGTCTTTGTTTTTCTTTGTTTTCCATTACTGATAATACAAGGTACCAATTATAACGAGGTAATTTGTAAAGTCCCAAGGACCTGTTATAAACGTGTTCCACTGTACAATTCCACTACAATGTTCAGTTGTACTAAACATGCCTCAGCAGATCCGTGTTTAGCACCCTTTCTTTGTACACAGTTTGCATTATCTGAAAACAGGAGTTTATTTAGGCCTAGTATGTATTCTTTTACAGTTTAATGCACTTATTACAAAAAAATAATTATAAATTGCATGTGGAAGTTGCGCGAGCGAGACATCAACGCAGTGACAACTGCCAGAGAAATATGGCACTCTGCCGTCGTCAAGATCACCCGTTTAATGACCTTGGATTAAGTCGCATCGCCAAGGCCGACATCCCGGCGTCTGGACGGCAATCACGCGTCCGTCTCCGGACTCGTTTTTTTCGTCCACTTGCGGTTTATGGTCCTATTTGCTAATCGTTGCGGAACCTGAACCTGGGAACCGGTCACTGCTACAGAAGTATTCACCAGTGTCTTCACACCACCTCTTGATGATGATGTAAGGGTGAACACAATATTCGGCGCTGCTTCGCATGGTTTGGGATACTTGGAGGGAAATTGCATCCGTCTTCGATCATCATCGATGCTTTCCCAGTTTGACAATCAAAACTGCTTGTCCTGACCTTAGTATGACCTTTTAAACGCTCGTTTATGTATTTTGTAGTGCATATAAGCTTTTTCAGTAGTTTCTCGTCTTTTCATATCATATTTGTATGCATTATTTCCTGAACTAAAATTATCCTCGTACCTTACAAAAAGTCGGGGTTTTGGGAACTTCTGTACATCATGTACGAGTCATGTACATGTACACTCATTATTTTGTAGTTTGCAGTACATGTACATGACATACCTTTATCTGTAGGCGTGATGCCGTGCATCTCTTGTTTCCGTCTGCTCAACAGGTCAGGATTCCAAGCTACAGTTTGAAGGATTTGTGAGTTAGCCTTATTGTCATCAGATACAATCATTTTTCACCGACCCTCCTTCTGTAATGCTTGTAATGTATAATGTGTGATAAGTTGTGCCAAATTTGAGCCTTGGCTATGTTAATCACGGTGGCATACTGTTGTGGGTTCAGGGGAGGTAGCAAACCATCTGAAACGTCTTCTTGCCAGTGGCGGATCCAGGGGATGCGGAGGAGCGCCCCCCCCCCCCCCTCCCCCCGGCCGCGACCGAAATTTTCTCATGCACATTTTATCACTTGAGCGAGCCATTCTGCCCCCCCCCTCCCAGCACAGCCTCCCAACGCCCACTTCCCCCCCCCCCCCCCCCCCCCCCCCCCCCCCCCCCCCCCCCCCCCCCAGCAGTAAGCCCACAGCCTGTGCTTAAGTCCTTGTCATTCTTGATAACATTAAATCAACGCCACACCCACCCGGTTAGTCCCGTGAATACTCATTAAGTTTAGCAAAATCTCGCGCAGATCGATTTGATCTCCGGACGAACTGCATGCCTCATGGAAATCAGTCGCATCCTTTGATGTCATAGTACAACTCCTTATACATAATTATCCATATAGTGTGCCCCTTTCCTTATGTGATAAAATTATTGTTCATCATTCTCTGGGCCGGGCGCTGGTTCGTGCATCTACATAATGCATTCATTAGTGCTCTAGGGAGAAGGGTTTCAGTCTGGAAGACTAGGCCCAAGTATGATTGGGGATGCCTGCTTCATCAAGTGAAATATTGTTAAGAGGCTCATTCAAGACACTTTCTAGATGGGGAAGGATCGGTGATACAGCGGGCTCATCTCCGGGGGTTGGTTACTTACAAAACATCTCAATGGAGACGGGTGCGGGTAAGATTGTTCGCATTCACTGATGCGTCTAAAATTGTGTTATTAATGTTGAATGTTGCCTGTAATAGAGTTTTTCCGTTTCGATTTTGACATTTGTCACTGCTTTTATATTGCTATAGTTTTCATTACGTACAGTGAAATCGTGTTAGACAGTGTTGTACCTCAACTCGGTTCAACGGCAACCACTGGCGCTCTCGTCAGTAACGAAATTACAACAAACCAGTTTACCTCCAACAGGACTTTTGTACATGCCCGAAATGTGTGGTTTTTTTATTGAGGTACATAAAAAATATAATGAGGCATCCTCATTTGGTCGCACTCATGCCAGTCTTGATGCAGGGGTTAAAATGATACACAGAGGCTCTTGGTTCTTGGTTGGTTCTTCTCCTAAATACTCCCGTGGGAGTTTATACAGGAGGCCAGAAACACCGGGGCAAACCCCTTCTCTTAGCGATAAGTGTTTACTGGGTTCTTTTACGTGCATTTATACAATACACGGGACCTACGGCTTAACGTCCCATCCGAAGGACGAAGCAATAATGGTTAAGTGCCTTGCTTAAGAGCACAAGTGTCCGCCGGCGGGCTCGAACCCACGTCACTGTTGCCTCTGAAACACCAGAACGTGAGTCCGGTGCTCTTAACCGCTAGGCCATCACACTAGGCGTTTCAAGTGGCGATGGTACAGAATGAGGGGGAACTTTCTACAGCCCCCCCCCCCCCACCAACCCACAGACCCCCCCCCCCCAGCCCCCCCTGAAATGTTTGCAACCCCAGGTGCCCCTGGTTCTAATTACGCCACTGGTATAATAGAGTTGCGCCCTCTTCTGGATTCAATGCGTGTTAACCATGCATTACCTTCATAATTCCCTTCATTCAATTACGTAAGTTTGGCTTGACTTATAAAGAGAGCCGCTCCAATCCATCTTTGGGATGGTCTACTTAGTAGAATGGTTGCATCAAACTATCTCAGTTGTGCTTGAGAATAATTCTGTAACATTGTCTGTGTTCTGAAATTAGTAAGACGAAATAAATAGTTGTCAAAGTTCTAGTTGTAGTGGTCGCCGGCGCCGAATGGCTGCTGAGTATGGTAGCTGGTAGTTCCGATATCGGTGGAGACAGCATTTTTGATCGTGGCCCGTTGAAACCCATGTTTGTAATTGAAAATTGATTAAGAGGCATACAGAATCTGCAGTATGCATTCAGCAAGTATTGTGTAACTCCGCAGCGCCAAAAGAACTTCTCCCTCCTTAGGCTCTGATGATCAGCCCGGCGCACATCTTGCGAACCACGGTCACGTATCGGCGTTCCTCTCTTGGCGCCTTCTGAAGAGGATGATTTCCCGCCACTAAGCTCCCCGCGCCGCGATTTCCCGCCACTGGACGGACATGATGTTGTTGGATAACACCTCTAGGCAAGGGACTGAGTTAAAGAAATCAATTCTCATTTCTTCTCGGTTATAATGCTGAGCGGGGGTTTAATTGCTTCCGGAAAATTCATTAACACATTTCGCTGGCAGAGACCGATGATAAATCTCCTGTCCTATAGTGGTAATGTATAGCATTAGTTCGTGACGTAGATTGAAGGAATCCTCAAAGTAAATACCACTGCCAACATGATATCCCCTCTTACTGGCTATATTTCACTCGACCTGTACAGTTTTATGGTACTCTTGGATTCAGATGCGGTGATTCCCACTCCTTCAGTTGTGCGTTGCCCATAACCACCTCAAAGTAAGTGGCTGCTCAAGTCTGAATGTGTTGCATTTGACATTCTGCATGATGCTTTAATACGGTCTCCGGCCGTATTTTGTTTCTTTATCGCCAATTTTGGTGGTATGTGCATTTAGATATTTATTTGGTATAAAGGCCTGGTATTCATAAATACCTAGACAGTTTGCTCTTTCCCAGTAGTCGAGAGCCCGTCACGTGGCCGGTCTTAAACGGAGGATAAAGACCGGCTGGCTGGTCTTAAACACTTTTCCAGTGACTCATGAAATTTGGAATCGTATGAAATCCAGTGCCTTTTACGTTTTGTTGGTTGAACTTTCACAATCGTCACAGAGGCATGCGCAATACTACCAGTGAGTCAGTATTTCAAAGCCCTAAATTCACAACGCACCGCCACAGCTGCATTGTGCGCGACATCGCGCGATACGCGCTAATCTCCATAAGTACAGCGCCATTATTTAGCTAGGGGATGTTTCGAAAAAATCATGAAGTGAAATAGTTGAACAAAATCTTTGGAAATTTTCTACCTCTCATTTGTTTTGACTTTTAGACCTAAAAGTTTTGATTTTTTTTTACCGAAAAGGTATTTATGGGTGGGAATACTGTAAATATGTGCTTGGTCGGTATTAAACACTATGTTTAAGACCGGTTGGGGTCTGGATGCTGATAATTACCCAAGCCGAACCTTCAGTGTTTAAATCACCTTCTCTTCTTATTCTTTGCCGATGAAAAACCAAAAATCTCATTGATCCCCGGTTGTCCGCAACTTTTCTGATGATGGTTATATCCAGCAATACTTTGTTGTGTTGACTTTTTATTATCTGAATCTTAAAATTAATGTGGCCTGACGTTGCGAACTTAGCAAGTTCTTCTTCAGAGGCTAAAACAGAAATGACTGATATCAAAGTAACTGTTACCATTACATTCTTATACGAATAGCAAATACTTTTTTTCATGTACAGTAAACTCTCGTCAACTCAATCTCGGATAACTCGAAACTCCATTTATCTCGGAGTAATACTCCATTCC